AAGATTCAGCAACTAAGGCTGCTCTTATTTTCTTCATGTTGTTGAGTGATGAAAATATGCCAAAATCAAGAAAACCAATAAATTTATATCCATGTATTTCATAATAATATTTATATTTCTCGTTCTGCTGATAAAAAAAACATTTGCACTATCAATATTTCTTCTTTTTTTCCCCCCCTTCATGCCCAGTTAGGAACAGCCGAATTTATTTACTGGAAGTTAACTTTTTGCTGCTCAGTCACTGATAAAACTGAGCAAGCATGCATGGTTAATTGTAAAAATAACCCAGGATGAAACGAGCTGAGGAAATCCAGTGGAATGTCAGGAATAATCCACTACAAAGGAGCAAAATGAAAACAATCTATTGTCTCAGCAACATGCAATAATCCTAAAATCATGTTAGCTCATAAATGCATTTATGAATCTAATTACTATAATGTTATTAAACATTTATAATGCATTTCTTTTTAACACCAATCTACATTTAAATTACGGTATTGTGTAGACTTAAAATAAAGTGTCAAGATGAGAAAATAATTAACAATCCTTAAAGGAAAAAAACTAAATATTTAATGTTTTTAGGAAAAGTTCCATTCATAAATCTTTATGAAATTGTCTTTTGGTTAGTTAAGCAGAATAAGCTAATTCTGATAACTGAAAAATAAAAAGCAGCGACATTTAACATTCACTTTAGGTGAGAACTGCAGCCAAAAAGACAATTTTCTTAAAATTTTCAAACATATGGTTTAAAATAAAGTTTTAAACCATATGTCTAATCATAAAATATATATTTTAAAGTTTTATGAAGTGAGAACATTTTGGTTATCCTGATATTACACATCAATAATTACTTCCTACAGATGTTTCAGGTCCTTTTCAGGTCCTCAGTGTCTAAAAATAAATAACTCTTTTAATGTTTTTGTGTTTTTAATCATAATTTCTAAGGTTAAGTTTTTACAAACAATCTAGCCAAATAGCATGAATTAAAAGATAATTTTCATTGGTTCATTTAATCTATTTCAATAAGTTTTTTTTAACACAAAGGAATCTTATTGTTAGTATCAACTTATTATGTAGTTACAGCTAAATATATATAATTTATTTCGCCCAAAAAACTGGTTTTTACAGAAGCTTCAAAATGAAATAAAATCATTGTCTAAAACATAATGATAAATGCTTGTAGAGTAATCTCCATTTTTAACTGTTTAAAAGCTGCAGGCTTAATGTTAGCAAGAGAAATTAAGAGCTAGTTCACCTTAAATAACAGCATAGTAACATTTTAATTACATTAAAGTCATTCTAACTATGAACACATTAGCTATCAAAGAAATAAAAAGTGTTTTAGTTAAAGTTCTAAATCCCCTGAAACATAAAGCGACGTTCAATGGGTAAAAAAAAGTTGAATAATTTAGAAAAGTTTACTTAGAAACAACTACAGGCCCCTGTTTAAATAAAAGGAACTTTCTTGTGAGCAGAAGGGTCAACCCCTAACCGTCTTTAGCTTTTAAGCTAACAGCATATCGCCGCAACGGACATAAATGAGATAACTTTAAATTAAATTAATATAACTGTAAAGATATTCAAAAAAAAAGATAAACACCAACAAAAATCTTTTTATTAAACTCACCTCAGAGTAAGAGGACTGTCACTTCCACTCCTCGGCTCAGATATGCTGCGGCTTCTGCTTCTACTTCTTCTTCTCCTCCTTTTGGAAGTGCAGCAATTACTTAAAAAGCAGCACCATAGCTAGGTTGCGCCTCCTAAAGGCGAAGAGTATAAATGCAAGCAAATTAAGCTTGACTTCCCTTAGCTAATACCACTGCTACTACAAATAACAATTGTATAAATGTGTGGTAAGTTCGTATATTTAGCCTTAAAAGTAAAAAGAAAAGAATTTTAAATTAAAAACGTGACTAATTAAGTAGATAAATTTAATATTTACAAGACTATAAAAAAGAAGACACAAAAGTTACGATTATACTTATTATATTAATGATTAGACTTAAATTCAAGATAAATAAACTGCTTCTGGGTCAATAAATGTTTTACTTTTTCTTTTAAACAGATTGTAAATGTCATAAATATATTCTTCTAAATGTGTAAGAAGTCTTACAACTATTGAGAATGTTATCATGAATTTATAATTCAATTTGTGTTTCAAGATTTAGGATTAATATTAACTTTATTGTCCCAAAGGAAATTAGATTTCTGTACAGACTCTGGCTGGTACATAGTCCAAACTATGTGTCATACTGCATTCACACATAAAAAAAAAAACTACTATAAAAAAAATCTATTATAAGACAATAAATAAATACATAAGGAAGCATTTGTTACATTAAATTCACAATAAAAAAAATTATAAAAATATGTGGGAAAATAAATATATAAAAAAGAATGTCGGTTTAGTTTAAATTTTGAATACCATTGCCTATTCCACAATTTACCGCTTGATACTGCTTGATTTATGTTTCAGGAATTTATGGGTTTGGCTCTAAGGATGGCCATAGAATGTCATGCAGCTGAAGTCTATGTAGCATTTATGCAGCTTCTGCCTGGTGTTAGTCCAGGATTTGACTTCTGATTGTATTTTTTTGCACTATGTTCTATTTAAGTGTGTCAAAAAATAGGACTGAATATAAATACAAAAACAAGTACTTTTCAGATTTATCTGTCTTTCTGATGTTGGTTGTTTTTTTCACCTCTGTTGTAATCTTTTTTGTGTTGGTCTGTCACAATGATATCCAGTGAAAGATATAAAGGCTTGTTGTGGTACTGATGCACTGTAGTCATTGTGTAAGTATGAGTCAGTTCAATGTTATGAGGAAGAAGATTAAAGAAAATAAACCTATAATTATGAATGGACTGTATTTATAGACACATACGATTACATTCAAAGCTCTTAATAATAAGGAAGCCACAAAAAAACCAAAGACTGTTTTTCCAGGATGATTCACAGTTAGAAGGAAATTATTTGACTCATTATAGAGAAATGTTAGTTGTGTATGACACAAATCAAACAGGAGTCTTTTTTTTGTTTTGTTAATTGAATTTGGCCCATCTAATGTGATGGCAGATCCTTCAGCCATTACTCTTCTGTCTAATCTTAGAGGTTATAGCTGTACCACTTTCAGACCTCTAAAACCTTTAAAGGTAGACCTTTAATGACCATATAAGGGCAATTTTTACATTTTATTTTTTAAGACAAGGCATATTTGAATAGCAGAAATCAGTAAAAAGTCAGATAAAAGTGCTCTACATGAATTAAACAGTTAAATAAAAAGAAAGTAAACGCAAGTAAAGATAAAACGCAAATAAAACAGTGATACATTTCTTAAAAGAGTCTGTTCTAAGTGTAAAAAGTATTCCAGCCATATAGAAAATGTATCATAAATTTATAATTTAATTTGGGTTTTTCTGTTGTAGGATTTTTTTGGATGTGGCTCTAAGGGCAGCTCTGGGCTGTCAGGAAGCTAAAATCTATGTATTGAAAGCATTATGGTAATTTTTTTTTTTTTCGTTTTTTGTTTTTGGTCTTTCGCGTGTATTAAAGGCCGGGTGACATGGTACACTGAAAAGTTCTTTTGCAGTGCATTCCAAAAGAACACGCCCCCAGATTTTCAGAGCAGAAAAATCTTTCCATTACTTTTGAGAGCTAATTTTACATGCTTAGTGATGTTTTTAATCATTCAAACTGTGACTGGCTGATTAATAGCACATGTTTCTGTTGACTGAAAAACTTAGAACACATGTATTCCTACTTTACATGGGCTTTAATTAGATTGGTTATCTATTCATCACACTTTGAGTTCTATGGAAAGATGTTGAGACACTTAAAATCAATCAGTAAACTTCATTATAACTATTAGTCACATATAATTCATGGTGATTTTTGGTTTCTTAATAGTTAAACCCTTTAACTGAATACTGTGCATCAGCTTGTCATCATAGATTCATCACTATTTATTCATGTTTTTATTTAAGGAATAAAAGACTCCAGAGATGAACGATCAGCTATGCAACCTTTAATTAGCTGTTTTTATTCATCCTCTCTCTGCCTTATAATAACCTTTGTGAATGTGTCCAATAAGCCTTTTTTAATACTTTTCTTCCTGTTTTCTGTTTATAATAACCATTATAATGTGTTTATGTCTAACAGAATCTTTATTTAACAGTTTTGAATGTTTGAACGTATGGTGGGATCGACTGTGCGTATGGCCAATTGTATGGGAATGTATTTTCTGTTATATCATACTGTGCACTATCTGTCTGTTTTATTTATTTTTGATTATCACATCCCGAAGGGCCATTCCTTTCAATTCTGAAAAAGTAGGAAATATTGCTGTTTTTAGTTATCTAAACACATTTATGAATTATTTCATTTTGAATAAATTAATAAATGTATAACTCTATTTCATACAATTCAGTAAAAATTCAAAAATAACACATATGCTAATTTAGTGATTATATATATAATTATATAAGATGTATAATTTTGTGCTTATTTCTAATAGGGGATAGGAGGAAGTAAAACTTAGTAAATCACACCTCTTCTCAAAAAATATAAAGATGTACACAATCCTTCAGAACCTACTGTATATATATATATATATATATATATATAATTAATAATTATATATAAATAAATAAATTAACTTCATTATCCAATGTAAATGATTAATTTAATGAATTGGATAGTGGTTTATTAAAAATATTTTTATGTTGTGCAACAAATTTGATAAGTTTGAAACAAGATTTAAATGAAACAATAGACAAACCCTTCAAAGCGTCTTTTTTTAAGTTTTGTAAATATTACATTATATTAAAATATAACTAATTGGACAGGAGTGTTTATGTTATTTAGAGAAAAATAATAAAAGGGCAGAAAAGGACAAATAAATTAATGAATTAATTAATGGCATCGTGGCGGATGCCTCTTTCTTGGGACCTCGCGTTGCTTTGTACAAATTGTTGATCGCCAGTAGGTGGCAGCACTGTTAAATCAACGCCACCGTTGAGCCGAAGAAGAGCGGAGGCAAAAGCTACCATGTTAGCTGCTTGTTAGCATCGCCGTGTTCTGCCTGTTTCACCTTAAACTACATGGAGAAGAAGAGCCGCCCTTCGTTTCTAAGGTAAATAACTCCACACAACCTTGAATATATTTATAGTTTTGCCTGTTATCGTGTCGTTTTTGGGCAACGGAGCCATACGTAGATGTGGTTAGCATTCAGTAGCATTCGGATTGTTTCTTTACCTCAATCTTCGAGCTTTTTTTTTGTTTGAAAATGACCTGAAATGTTTATGTGATCCCATGACGTAGTTGTGTAGAATAAAAATGCACAATCTGGTTCGTGATCTATGTGAAATGCCAATAAAAAGTCACCTGACAGTAGGGAAAGTTAGAGGCTGGGCTCAATTCAGGGGCCCTTTGCTTTACTAAAAACCAAAACTTAGGGTTTTTTTTTCTACTTTGCTTTGTTTTTTCATGGTGAAAGTAGGATTTTAAGAATCACAGACCCATAACCACATTCTGCTTTTTCTTCAGACTAGATGAAAAGATGTAGCCACACAGGTGGGGGATCCCTTCACTGACATAAACCCTCCTGTTTTTGGGATAATCCTCCCCCTCTCCAGCCCTGGAGCTCCTCCAACTCTGACCAGGAGCTCGGATCGGCAGCTTTAGTCCATCCGTCCATCCTCAGCCATGCTGTTTTCTCTGAGGGAACTGGTCCAGTGGCTGGGCTTCGCCACCTTTGAACTGTTCCTCCACCTGCTGGCCCTGCTGGTCTTCAGCATGCTGGTGGCCCTGAGGATGGACCTGTTCGACGCCAAGCTGAGCTGGTGGCTGGTGTTTGTCCCCTTGTTTGCTGCAGACGGGCTCAGCACTTACTTCACGGCCATCGTGTCCATTCGGCTGTATCAGGAGAATGAGAAACGCCTGGCCGTTCTGCGGCTGCTGTGGGTGCTGACGGTTCTCAGCCTGAAGCTGGTCTGCGAGGTGCTGCTGTGCCAGAAGCTGGTCGACCAGGAGCGAGCCAGAGACCTGTGGTTCGGCCTTATCGTGTCGCCTCTCTTCATCCTGCTGCAGCTGCTGATGATTCGGGCATGCAGGGTCAACTGAGGGCAAAGTGGGCTCCATGATGATGCTGGAGCGGAGAGCACTCTCCATCTGCCATGAGAGATTTTAGGGATACAAGTGATTTTTTTTTTTTCTTTTTCTTTTGAAATGTCACCTTTTGTGATAAAGCTTTTTTATGTTTAGGTCACTAAGAATCACCTATAGCAGAAAAGCTTCAGGAAACAAGAAGATAATTGAGAATATTACCGCAAGGTTACTTGTGGGCTCAAAGACATCTTGTCTGTGGTGTAGGTTTGGAATACAGAAAGGCCGTTAACATCATAGTTACTGACTGATGATGAGCCATAAGGAGAAGTATGTTTCAGTTTGTGCAAAGGTCTTGAGTCATCTTTTCTTTCTTTATAATTTCCTTCTAAGCAGTCATTTTATCTCCAGTCTTTCTCTATTTATGTTTAAAGTATTTCATCACAATGCTAACAAACTAACCAATTAAGAAATAATCAACAAATCAGAATGTCATCATTTTAAATTGGCTAAATATCTCAGACTTTATGAAATGCATCATATTTTATTTTATCTTTTTTATTTTGTAGAATGGAACTGAAGACATTGGATATAAACTCTCTTTGTAACACGCTGCTAATACTAAAAAAAAAATTATATCAGTTCAGTTTCACCCAAAGTATTTGCAGCAAAGCTCAGATGAAGGAAACTCAGGAATATCCATTGGATTGGGAACATGTCTGAATAGATCACATTTACAACAAAAAAAAAAACAACTAAATATTGAGCATATATTAAGTCAAATGGCTTTAATTAAAAACTGTCAAGTAAAAAAAAATTTTTTAGAAAATACATATTTTGATAAATAGAAATGATTAATGTCCAAAATTAATAAGTAAAATTAAAAATGCTAAACCAAGTTGAACAAGGTGTGGCTACTTTGAAAAACAAATCTAGAGAAATACTTAATATGATCATTACTAAAGGTAAAAGTACTCATTTAGTTTGGAAACCCTCTGCAATTATTGCTTTTAATCCGCAACTGTGTTTTCTTTTCAGATTTCATTTTTATTTTCCAGTTTAACATTTTATTCACAGTCTTGCAGCTAAAAACATTCAAACTGTCACTGTACGTTTTCAACAGTTAAATAGCAAAATAAGATGTCTCAGTGGACTGCGTCACGTCACACAGAGACCGACACCCTCCCTCCTTCGCTGTTCTTTCAACGCTGGAAGTTTATTCAGATAATTCTCATTTATTTCCACATAAAAAAAAGGTAATTCTGGATTCCTGTCATCTTCATTTTCATCTCCATGGAGGTCATAGGGAATGCAAAATCTGGCATAATTTTACTAATTATCATCAGTTTTTGTGTGGTTATTAAAACATAAATATAACTGCTGGGATATTTCAGTTTGCATTAAAAGATCTAAAAACACTATAATATAAAATAATTGAACTGATTCCTAATATAAATAATACAAAACTAATTTTAGAAAAAATTAAATAAAGTTAGTGTTTGCACTACTGCAGTGGCATCTTGTTTAATATAAACAGGGCAAATGATGCAACCAGTAAATCAAGAGATTTGGTTCCTTCAAAACAAAATCTAAAGAAATTGCAGTGACTCAAACTTTTGCATAAAACTCTTCTAATGTGTTCAAAATGTGTGAACCTAATAAGGTGATATTAGAGGAGGAGTTCCCTGTTCATCTGATGGGTTGTGAGATCCCAGGAAGCTGCTGCAGCTCTATTTTCCCCACAGGACGACGCTGCTCATCAGCTTAGACTCCATTATCTCCCATATCGTTGTTGGGAGCGTTGCTCATCCAGCTTCTTCTCCTTTATTTAAAGTTGTCTGCAATCATCTTCCCTAAATATGCTGTTCATGTTTTGTTTTTTTACCAATGGTGTAGAAAAGATCCAGTCTGTTTTTTTTTCTTTGTAAATATTTTTTGCATGTATTTATGGCCTCCTTTTAATTTAACTCTTGATGTATAATTCTGTGTAATATGTATATGTTGAATGTTTAAACAGAAATCCACATGTTTATATTTATGTTATGATTTTTTTTTTTGCTGTCGTACGCATAGGGTTATTTGAAAAGGATCTGTTAATAAAATAATAAAAAACTTAAAAATAGTCTGAGTATGTGACGTCGGGGTGTATATGCACAGGCTGTCCACAAGGAGTCGCCAAAACTGATCGCTCATGTTTACATTTTCTTTTCCAGTTGTGTGTTTAAAGGCAAATTAAACTCTATGCTGCTCTTGCTTTAAATTAAATTTTGCGTTTTTTATATGTAAGCACTTTTGGAATGCTAATAAATATACAATAATCTGGAAAAACTCAACACACCAACATTAGCTCATGTTTGAAAGGAGAACTGATGACAAAAAACATCTTATTTCAAAACAGAAAATCTGAAATGTTGGGTGTTTGTATATTTAATAGGCCCCATTTAATCTGAAACATCTTAATACATTATTTGAAACCCATTAGCATGATAAACGGGAAGATTTAATCATAAGATTTGTTCAAGGTTTGTCCGTTAATATGACGGACAATTTCCAGCACTTAATCCATTGTGGTTTTCTAATAACATAACACTTCAATTCCAAATTCAACAGCTGAAGTTGCAGCACAAAAAGAATGACTCTGGTGCATGAACATCTTTGTGGGTTTTTGATTTTAGAACCTTGCAGGAACCCGTTCCAAGTTAAAAAACAGGCATTCTCAAAGTCGGTCCTTGAGGGCCGCGGTCCTTCAGGTTTTAGAGGTTTCCCTGCTTTAGCACTGCTGATTATGATGATTGCAGTTGAGCAAATGCCTGTTAATCAGCTTTCAGTTAAAATCAGATGTGCTGGAGAAAGGGAACCTCTAAAACCTGCAGGACCGTGGACCGACTTTGGGGATGCCTGGTATAAAGGGTATTGCTCACATAGAAAGGGCTTCTCAGCTGACTGTCAGGCTGGGCAAGCAGAGAAGCAGACAAGAATCCCAGTTAGAAGAGGCCGCTTTTTAATCAAGTAGCCAGCAAATCTTTCCAAGTGGTAAGAAAGAAGCTGTGTATTTTTCAACAAACACTAAACCATGAAAGAATGTGCTCTGATGAGATGAGATTTAAACTGACATTTAAGCCCAATGTCTAAGAACTGACCCATGCAGCACATTGAACATAAACCCATAGAAAAGTATGGTAGAGACAGCATCATGCTTTGGGGAGGCTTTGATCCAGCAGGTAAGGAGAAGCTAAACTGAGTCAAATTCAAGGCAATCGCTTGTAAACAGAGAAAGAAAATCTGAAATCTCTTTTAACAAATTGTCCACCTTAAGACGTGTAAAAAGAAGAAGGGTTTAACACCTTTGCTTTTTGTCCTTAGCTTGTAACATCCAAAGTTAACAGCAGATATTTTACAGCTCAGTAAAAGTCCCTCCTGACATTGCAGAAACATTTCTATTGGTTTGTTTCCTTGTTAGTGTTTTTAGGTATGTATTTTATCAGTAAAGCCTTTCATGATTGAGGAAATGACACATTTCAGGTCAGAATTAATTTCCTCTGTGCTCTTTGGTCAGACTGTGTTTAATTACGCCTTTGACATGAATATTTTATTAGGAGCAGTAATCTCCTGTAGCACCCAAGAATAGCCCACTTAGTGCTGATTCATGTGCAGCAGACTGCACAGCTTAGGTGTTCAGTGAGCTGTATCGCTTAAAGACATTTGCTGCGGTGCATCAAAAACATCTCATAGCATTAAATACAACCTTTAAATGTATAATTCATTTGCTATACTTCAGCTGATGCAAAACTAAAAGATGTCATTAAGAACAAACTTAAAACGCACCGCTCCTGCAAGCATTTTAATGTCAGTAGTGGGAGGATTGTTTTATAACCCTGAGTTTATTTAAATTTACTCATTATTTATTCTTTTACATTTATTGTATTTTGTGATGCACATCACAGTACTTTGTGACGTTTGCTTGCTTGTGACAGGCGCTATATAAAAAAAAAAACTTTACCTACTTAACCATGATTGTTCCTACAATATAGCGCTTCTGCTATAAAAAAAAAAGTCCTGTTTTTAATGTAACAATTTTTTTTTGCGATAAAGGTTTTTCACTATTAGATTTTATTGTAATCAGTGTAATTACAATTTTATTTTTTTTTTTAAATGTATTAGGATAGTCATGTATGGATATATAAATAATTGAAACAAGTAATAATATTTGATAATTTATAAATAAGTGTGCCCAAATAGCCTAAATGATTAAAAAGTGTTAAAAAATATATAAATTATATATATCATTATTAATTATTATAGTAATATCAATAATAATTAAATAATTGTTAATAATAATTAAAATTAATTAACAATACTGAAACAATGATTTTTATATATACATATTTAAAAGCTTTATTATTTTATTTATATATCTGTATTTTCAAAAATGCATTAGGATAGTCATCTATGGATATATAGATAATTGAAATACGTAATAATATTTGATAAAGTATGAATAAGTGTGGCCAAATAGCCTTAATAATTAGACAGTATTAAAAAATATATAAATATTATATTATATTACATTATTCTAATTAATATTCAATTTATATGAATGATAATCAAATAATTATTAATAATAATTAAGATTAGTTAAATAATAAAAATGAAATAATGATTTTTATATAAATATATGTATTTTTTTTGTCATGTATGGATATATAGATAATCAAAATAAGTAATAATGTTTGATAAATTATTAATAAGTGTGCCCAAATAGCCTAAATAATTAGATAGCTAGATAGAAGATTAGATAGTTAGATGATTAGATAGAAGTATTAAAATACCTTAATATATAAATCTTTGAAAGTTTTTTTTTTAGTTAAAACAATTACAGTTATTGACGAAAGTGCATATTTAAACTGCCATTTTTTTTTTTTTTTATGAAAACAACGCCTTAAATTATTCCTGATGGCTTTGGCTTGGCTTTATTTTCTAATCAACAGATTTATTATTTTTAATTAAATTTGACATCAACTATTTTGATTGACAGTTCTTCATTATGGTAACAATGGAAGCGGGAGTTGCTTCAGAGAGTGAGGGGCGTGACTTTAAGTTGCTTTGACCAATCAGCATTCGAGAAGGCGGGGTTTAATTCGAGGGATGTGAGGAGAAAGGGAGCTGACCTGAAAGCAGGCAGAGAGCGAGATAAAGCGGCGGAGGAAGGGATGATTATCTGTCCGCTGCTCGGTGCTGCAGGTACGGTTACAGCCGGATAACAGCCCTCATAGCGCCGCACCGGACTGCGGTGACTCCACCCCGGACTTCCTCCCGTTTTTCTTCACGAACAAACGTGTAAAAATGTCCGGCGGGGGAGACACCCGCGTTCTCCTCCAAGAAGCCGGCCAAGAGAGTCCGAGGATGCCGGCCTGGAAGCGAGAAATCCTGGAGAGGAGGAAGGCTAAGGGCGGCGTTTCTGCCCCGGAGGCGAGCCCCGGCGGCGCTCACGTGAACGGAGAGCTGACGGGAAACGTGAACGGCAGCGGCGGTGGTCCGAGGAGAGACGGCGAGCCGAGCGGTGTGACCGGGCGGAACTACACCATCACCACGGCCAGCCAACATTTCGCCCACAACAAAGAGCCCCGAGCGGCGGCGGCGGCTGAGAGGATGGCACCGAGAGAGAGTCTGGTGCTGCAGGAGAGTCTGGGGCCGCTGGAGGAGAACCCGTTCATCAAGCTGGAGAAGGAGCGCAGGAAGCGGCAGGACCGGGAGAACACCGCCCGTCCGGTCCAGCACATCCTGGAGCTGTACGGGAGCGTCCCTGGGATCAGAACCATCCGGGCCGAGAACATCATCATCATCGAGTCGGATCCGGATTACTTCCAGGAGGCCGGAGACGGTAAAAGCTGGCAGCCGAACGGCGTGGACAGTTACAGCTCTCTGAACGACCTGCTGGAGCGGAAAGGCAGCGCGGTGACGGAGATCAGAGCCAAGGAGGTGGTCATCTACGACAACACGCTGAGCCGGAGCGAGGAGAACCTCAGCACCCTGGGCCGCCCGGATCAGGTCTCCGATGATGCCGCAGAGGGCCAGGGGAGGGTCAGCCGGATCCTGCAGAAGTTCGACTGCAACTATGGGAAGCTGCAGAAGAAGTCCCGCAGCACAGAGAACCTGCTGGACCTGGATTGTAGTGCCAGTGCCAGGCCAAGACGTTGGTCCAAGCCACAGCCAGATCTGGTGCCAAATCCCAGAAGTCCAACCTTCAGCAGCCAGCCAACGTCGCCTGTCTTCCAGGCTCCTTGGACTCCCAAACCAAAGCCACAGCTGCAGCAGCATCCAGGGTCCCCCCAGCCTGTGTCCTCCTTCCGGCAGAGGTTTGAAGTGCCCCCTGTTCAGGCTGTGGTCCCCAGAGATGAACCAGACAGAGGGCAGAGCAAGATCACCAGGGAGCGAGACTGGGAGGGCGCCGAGGTGCCCCCCAGACCTAAGGTGCCATGTTCTCCCGAGACCCGCCGTACCCGTGCCGAGTCCTCCTCACTGCCCATCTCCTCGAAAGTTATACGTTCCTCCTCTGAGTTCGAGATCCGTCCCTCCCCTAAGCCGGACATTGACCGGATCCCAGATGGGGACACCCAGGCTAGGGCCCTCGCAAACCTGCGTCTGCAGTCCAAAAACTCCTTCACGGTGGTCCCAAAGCGTCACCTCGAAACCTCGACTGGCAGCCCTGGACCCCAAAGTCCAGTCAAGTCGTCACCCTCACACAGAGCAGCTGAAGCGCCCTCACCGGGAGTGCCAACCCCTCGCTCCCCAACACTCCCTGCCCCTCGCTCCCCAACAATCCCAGCCCCCCGCTCCCCAACACTCCCAGCCCCCCGCTCCCCAACACTCCCAGCGCTCACAAAGAAGAAAGAGGAGAAAGTTCAGGAGAAGAAAGAACCTCAAGCGCCTCCTGTTCCTCCTCCAGCCAGCGAACCTGTAGCTCCTTCCTCTCCACCTGTCCCGACCTCACCCTCTCCTTCCCCAGCCTCTCCACCCTCAGAGCATCCCACCGTGGACAAACTGCCAGTCACAAATATTGACGACATCGAGGTGGAGCCCGCGCAGCGTGGCCCCGTCCCCAGCCCCATGGTACAGAGGAAAAAGGGCAACACCTTCACCGTGGTGCCTAAACGTAACCAGCAGCAGACCCCAGCCGAGCCCCAGCAGGAGGCTCCGATTGAGACCCCACCGGAGTCAACGGCACAGCGACCAAAGTATCCCCAGCTGGGCAGTCGGCTGAAGAAACGCTACCCCGCCGTGGAGGAGATAGAGGTCATCGGAGGGTACCTGAGCCTCGCCAAGTCCTGCCTCTCCAAGACCGGCTCTGTGGGCAAGAAGGTGAGAGGAACCGTCTCAGTTACTGGTGTAGGGAATCACAACATCAGGAAAACGTGCAAGTGGGAGAAAAATGGGATTAATACCAGTTTTCCTCCGTCTTCCCATTTCACATCCTCACTTTTCTCTATTCGCTTTAGCATTCTGGGAACTAAACCAGACGGCATCAGATTCGCCTGATCCGACACTTTGATGCTCCAGATTTCCTTTAGCTTTTCTCTATAATCTTTGCCCCTAAAAATGACAAAATGTCATCTTATCAATCTCTATTTAACTCATTAGGACTTAGAAATCCCACAGTTTTCATGTCTTTAAACGCATCAACCAGTCTGTGCTTTGATCCTTTTCTTTAGTTCAGTAATATTTGGGGGAGTGATGGCCTAGTGGTTAGGGCATTGCACTTGGAATCCAGAGGTTCTGCAGAGGTAAATTTCTCCAATGGGAGACAAATCTTTGAGGGCTTTAATTTGGAGGTTATTGCAGTTTTTTCCCCATTTTTAAATAATATGCAACACATTTCACATTCTTTCTCTCCTCGGAGTTTTATCATTATATGGTTAAAATCAGAACCGGTAGTCGGACCTTAATGAAACGGGACATCTTTGTTGACCAGGAATTATGGGATTGCTTTGATGCATACATGGGGATAATCTTCTAATTCCATCATGTTTGGTGGTATTTAAAATAACTTTAATACAGAACCTGCAGTATATTTGGCATATTTAGTTCTTGGAAAGAAAAACATTTTTGGTCCAAAATGGGAACCTTGAGGAATGATCCATGGATCTTTTTCATCCAGGCGTAATCAGTGGATCTCTGGCTTGGATTCTGAATTTTCCGGCTGGCATCCGTTTGTCCTTTCATAAAAACACAAAAGAATTTTTATTCACCTGATTCTGGATCTTCCTGTGATCTAAATAAAGAACGTCACTGAGGAGTGGCTCTGTTTTGGTTGCACCTGTCTCCTAACTGTTCTCCAACAAAGCCGTGCTGAGTGTGTGTGTTGATCTAAATCTCTTACGTCCGATCACTGGACCTGCTGCAGCTCTTTCTGTCTAAGTGGATTAACGGTGTGTTTACACAGCCGGTTGGAGCAGCACGCAGAGCTTTTCTGCCCTTTTTTTGTTGTTGGTCGTCCCACTAATTCACGCCGTTTGTTGCTGTTTCCATTGGATCTCGTTCAGTGACCAATCCCATCAAAGCCGTCTGCTCTGCTGCAGCTTCTAAGAAGCAAAATTTTCAGTTTCCTAAAAAACTGCGTGTTTATTCCCTGTAGCTTTTGTGATTAAATCAATTGAGCGTATTTTAGCGTTATTTAAAGATCACAGATCTGATGCTTTGCTGCTTAAGGCAAATTGTTTCTGATTCACAAGCTTTTGGGATTAATTAAATATCAGGCGGTGTTGCTAATTAATTTTTGTGAAGAGCTGCAGGGCTGATCTCTCAGATTGAAACCGGATCAGTCTTGCATGTGATGCTTTTTCTCTGCAGAAAGCTGGTTCCTTTATGATGCATCGTCATCTTGAAAGGAGAGGAAACAACTGCACCCTTTGCTTTGAAGCTCTCTTTATTTTTACCGAGGCTGCGGTGAGATGCACAGGAACCACAGCATCCTGGACAAAGGTGCATCATGGTTGAACCATAAACCTCATCCTCTCATAGATATGCACAGTGCAACATCACTCATACATGGAGAAGTTTTACACATCTTATCACCAAACTAAAGCAGAGATGCGTAACTTTTGACACAAATATTAGCTTCAGGTAGGATACATGATTATGTACATGGCGCGTATCGATGCTCCATGCAGGCGGCCCTTTTTAAAAACCAGCTGAACTATCACTGCGGAGTTAAAGCTGTTTTTTTTTAAAGTTTAGGGGTAGTCTGAACATGTTTAAGTCTTTAGTCTAAGTTTTAGGTCTGGACTTTGACTAGGCCACACTAACTGATGAATGGCTTTGAGCTTAAGCCGGGCATACACTTTCCGATATTTTTATTTTTTATTTTTTGCAACGATTCTCCAGTCGTGCAAGAATTTTTTTAGATAAAGAACTTAGAACTTTTAATCCCTGAGGTTTCTTCATACATTTAGTGTTGTATCTGCGTTCAACAACTGAAAATATCATGCAGTGTATGCCCGGCCCAAGCTGTTCAATTTTAGCTTGGCCTTATGTTGGCCCCAGTCTCTATCAGGGGTTTTTCCAGGATGGCTCTTTGTCTTTAAAGTCGTAGGGAAATGGCTGTTCTAACGGTGCAAAGTGAATGTGATTGGTCGTTTATCAAGGGGGCAGGATTGCTGTGGCAGAAGGTTCAGAAGCAAGTTTGATTGTGGCTGGTGTCTCTAAAGCATCTTGCTAACCAGTTAGCAACTTAGTGCTAGTAGGTTCCCAATGGGAAATTCCATTGGGACCAAGTAGCACTTAGCATGACACTGTCAAGGAACGCTATGGACAGCGGAAACATGCAAGAAGAGGAGAGTTTAGTGTCGGACGTCGTGGATGAGTCTCCTCCGTCACATAATTTTTATTTAGAGGAGGAAAGCGGGGACGAAGATGTTGTGGAAGAGGACGCCAGGGCGGCAGAAGCTTGGTTTGGTGTAGAAGGCTTCCAGCCGTACATGTTTGAGCCCTTGCCTCGCAACGCTGCCAGTTCTGTTAGCTCTACGCCTGCTGAAGACACAGACGTCCATCCCCGTGAACACTGGGACGGAACTCAATGGGAAAGGAAATTATTCTTTCAACCGTTGCGTTTATTAGCTGCGACATATGAATCAAGATGCTATGATCAAAAAAACGTGATTGACAGATGACCGTCGATATATGATTGGCAGAATTTAGGTGTACAAGCTGACGTATAACTAACTGGTCTGCATAAGATAATGAAAAAAACAGATTTTAAGACAGGATTTTATTTTTTTTAATATAAATTTTACAGTACATTTATATACATGTTTAAGGAAGAATGTTTTAACATTTAGCTATGACTTCCCTACAACTTTAAAAAGCTTCTTCCCCACATCATGATGCTGCCTCCGCATGTAACTTTAAAATGATATTGCTTTTTTTGTTTTCCTACAGTCGCTTTTCTTTCCGGTTTGGTCTTTTTTCCAGAGTTAATCTCAGAAAGGAAATTATTTGCATAGTTGAAGCTATTAGGCCTCTTTAACAGCTTTCAGAAAGCCAGAAAAACTGCTCTTGATCCGCAGCTTTTAGGTTCTCTGTACACTTTTGCTGATTTTGTTTATTGCAGAAAGGTTGTTCATTAGAAGAACAGTGTTTATCTCGGTAACCTCTCCCATCGGCAGCACATGGACCCGGGCCAGCGTTACAGCCTCTCAGACTTTGGCCTGCCATTGAGATACTAAATCCTCCGCCGTCTTTTTACAAGCAGCACAAGGAACCTTTACATGTTTCATTATTGGCAGCCCTGGTTTAGCATATGCTCAAAAACAAAGAATCATAAAATGAACAAAAAAAAATCTCTTTCTTTTCTACTTTCTACTCTTTTCTGGTACTGACCCGAGTTGCACAGCCAACCGGAAAGGCATGATGGGTTTGGGCCCGCTCTGCATAAATTGTGTGGAATATTTTTTTCCCTCTGTGTAAAAAGGGCCTGCAGAGTTCTGGCCCGGTGTCGGGGATTTTTTTTTTTTTTTTTTTTAATGAGGAGTTTGGCCTAAAAAAAAAAAAAAAAACGTTCCCATCAAAAACTTGAACTCTTTCCTCTTGTTTTTTTTTTTTTCCACAGCTATTTCTCTTCCCAAATGTCTGTTTTTTCTTGTCGGACGTCGGGCAGCTCAGACCCCGCTTTAGCCTGCTTCCTCGTGTTTCCATTGCACATTGTTTTGGAGGGGAAAGTGGTGATTAATAAGCTTCGCTCCCAGCTTCCTGTGATCTCCTCTCTGTTGGAGAAAGAAGTGTGGAGGAGCTACTGTATGTAGGTCAAGTGCAGCTTTTTGTTCCACGTCACTCCTATATTTGCATAAAACCGCTCCGAGTTTTTGGGTTAAACACAGAATGGGATTGACTCCATTAGCTTCCATTTGAAGTTTGCCTGGGTTTCCTTTCCTTTTAACTGATCGCTGAGCGTTTTAGACATGATGGATGTGGACTGCAGAGAGCCGTGGGAGGAGGCAGGGTTTGTTTTTGAAGTTTCTCTTTCCCTCTAACTACTGGTTATTATGGGAAAAGGAAGATCTAACCACGTGTTTCCCAGCAAAAAAGATGCATATCAGTGTCTCTCTAGTGTTTATGCTCACTTTAAAGAAACGTAACGCTTAATTGAGGCTCAAAGAGCTGTTTCTTATAGAGTTCTGATCAACCGGTCACTGACGCTGCAAAAAATTAAATATAAGAAAGTCTATTAGTTCCTGAAATAACTGTATTTTACCTTATTTTGACCGTCTAAGCTAATTTGCCAACAGAATTATTCCATCTCAAGTACATAATGCCCAATTTCATGACTGTAAAGGAGAAATATGGAGGGCCAAAAGGGCCAAATGAAATAAATAAATCTAGCAAGAAATAAATATATTGCAAAATAAAGAAACAAACGTTAAATGAAAACTTAAATGTATAATTAAATAATTAACTGCATCATTTATTAATTTTTTACATTACTCAATAATTATATGTTGATTTCATAATGACATGCAAAGTTAAAGAAGTGTGCCATTAAGTAATTCATTATACTTATAGTATGACATTTAATAACATGTCTTTTTTTTTATGAATTAAATTGCACATATATTGTCATTCCATCATTTGGTGGGCGGGACCACAGCCTCGTCCACAGAATCCCTGATGTCTGATTGGCAGCTTCTCACTTAGCAAGACAAGACGGCTTTAAACTCTTCCCACTGAATCTTGATTGAGTTGAGGTCTGGATTTTGATCTTGCCAAACTTGACAAATTGATTACTCTTTTTCTCCTTACTTCAAAGCATCCTGCTAGAAAATAAACCAACAGTCTCAGCCTATTACAGAACGGTATCCCATACCATG